TCTAACTGTAAAAATAGTAAAATTAGGGAAGAACAAGGGATTTTTTTTAAAGAAAATGAGACAGTGGAAAGAGGAAAATTATAGACTCTGTCCATTCATATTTAGCTCAGTGATACTCTTTTATCCTGGAAGAAGGCGTATTAAAGCGAGTATTCAAAAATGATGATGGTTCTGAAAACAGAAGACAGTTGGTCATTCTAAAAAATACAGTAGTCTGTTACACGAGAGTCCATCAGGAGGACACTTGTTAAGAAAACCCTTCAGAGAATTCGTGAAAGGTTTTATTGGATGAACAGTTCCGATGATGTAAAGGCCTAGTGTAAATAATGTACTACCTATGCTATGATTAATGAACTTCAATGGAAAAGGAAGGCTTCCATAAAACAATGCAACGATGGTAATACATATAGCGCAGACAAAATAGCGCAAAGACAAAATAGCGCAGAAAAAATGGCGCAAGGACAAAATAGTGCAAGGACAAAATAGTGCAGGGGCAAAATAGCGCAAGGACAAAATAGCGCAATGACAAAATAGCACAAGGACAAACTAGCGCAAGTTCAAAATAGCGCAGGACAAAATGGCGCAGGACAAAATGGCGCAAGGACAAATTAACCCGTAACAAACAGGATATATTTTTTTAATTAATTCATGAAATAATGCATGACAAATACTGTTCCAACGACGCCTATGTAGAGAATGTTTGAAGTGTAGCTCCATTTCTCTCACATTATAGGATCCGACCCATTTTAGTGCGAAATAATTTCGGGCGGGACTTTGCTGCGACAAAGTTGCGTCGAGACAAATACATTAGATATAAAGATATAACTAAGATATAAATACAGTAAAACCAATTAACGCCCAGTGTAATTATAGTGAGTTTAGTAAGCGCTAATTCAAAAAAAAGTGTAACAAATTAACGCGCGACAAAATATACCAGTATTCTAATTACACTTAAAAAGAACTTAATCTAACCTGTGTGGCCTGGAGACATGGCGGATTGCTGTATATGGCTCCAGGTCACACATGTTAGGTAAATTAGTTAGCATTTTATTTAATTTTTCTAATTTTATGTAATTTCTTTTTTCAAAGCAACATAGCTTAAGGCCGCCTAGGTTAGGTAAATTAGTTTTTTTTAATTTAATTAGAATACTGGAATTTTTCAAACAGTGCAGGACAAATAGCTTAAGACAGAATAAGAAATAATTTATCTAACCTGGATGGCCTGAAGACACATGTTGCATTAAAAAAAATTGACATAAACTAGAAAAATTTAAAAAAACGTAACTTATTTACCTAATCTGTGCGGCCTGGAGCCCTATACAGCAACCTGCTATGGCTCCAGGCCGCATAGGTTATATTTTGACACGCGCTAAATTTTATCCTGCGCTATTTTGTCTTGCGCAATTTGGTCCTGCGCTATTTTGTTCTACGCTATTTTGTCCTTGCGCTATTTTGTCCTCGCGCTATTTTGTCTTTGCGCTATTTTGTCCTTGCGCTATTTTGTCCTGCGCCATTTTGTCCTGCTCTGTTTTGTCATAGAGCCCATTTAAACAGATTGCCTTAAATATTGCTAGACCATTCCCCATGACCGAAAATGGTATTAAATCCATGATAGTTGTTATGGATTATTTTACGAAGTGAATGGAAGTATACGCCTTTCCAAATCAAGAAGGCGCAACTGCTGCAGACGTGTTGCTAAAAGAGTTTATCAGTCGATTTATAGTACTCTTGGAGATCCACAGTGACTAAGGCATAAATTTTGAATGTCAGCTTTCCGAGGAATCTGTGACATACTAGGCATGAAGAAAACCACAATTACAGTGTTGCATCCGCATTCAGATGGAATGGTAGAGCGAATGAATAAGACCGTTGGCAAATACCTGTCAAAAGTGGTTTTCAATCATCAGCGAGATTTGGATCAGAATCTTTCGCTCTTCGCAATGGCCTGTAAGCCAATGAATGTCAATGTATCGAACAGGCCAAATACCAACAAAAGTTCTGTTCGGACGTGAGATGAGACTACCGTGCGACCTCGAATTTGGATACCGATCCGGAGAAGACTTGCCGTTGAAGAGTATATGATCCAGTTACGAAGTAACAATAAACGGTACGATAGCAAAGCTACTAAGATAGGCGAGGAATTCTGGCTCAATAACCCAAAAACACAGAAGGGTTATTCTCCGAAGCTTCAAAAATCTTAAGAAGGTCCTTACCTCATTAGGAAAAAAATACCGATATCAGTTACCGTATAAGCAAGATCCTAAACGGAAAACCGAAGGTATTGCATCAAATGCTATCTCCAATTGGAGGATGACCATGGCCAAAAAGAAGCACACTAGCTCCATATGGAGGCACTAGGAAAGCAAGATATGGCGTTACAACCGAACAACAACAAGATCTTCTTAAGCATCTGTTTTCTGGAAGAAAATTGTTTGATTACCAGAACTTCAAGGTCAGTTATCAGCCCCCGGACAGGCTTTTAAAACTTTAAGATGGATTACGTTACCTCATATTGTCATACAAAAATATGCAGTGCGAATGTCCTTAAAGCCCATTACCTTGATTTTTGCAAACTTACTTTCATCCATCTGAATATCATGACCTTTTACTCGCTTATAATCTACCTACAACTATTAAATTTAAAAAAACATCTTGAAAACTATAGTAGAACGGAAACTATTGACGTAAAGTTATATAATTCTCTACCGCAAAAAATTCGAAATAATAGTTTTAATAAACGGATAGCGAAAGTTACACTAATAAAAAATCCTCTCTATAGCCTTAATGACTTAGGTTTTGATAAAGAATGGAAATATATGGGATGTTTCAACATAAATGGAAAATAACATCAAACTTATTGATGTAATGTATTTTTTTAATCGGTCGATATTGTCAATTCATATTGTAATATCAATGTTAACATTTTTTAAGACATTATGTATTTATCTAACTGACTAACTAATCCTGATTTTTCTATTAGGTAACAAAAAATACCTTTCAAATTCGATCCATTTATCATGATGTACGGGAAGCATTACTGGACCACGTAATGAAGTTCAGTGTATAGAAACTAAACATGCCAAACTATTATTTCCTATAAATTTGATCAGTCAAGAAATATTGTTTAAAAATTTGTGATTTTATTTTTTCCAGTTCCTACAGTCTTACTAATACTATATAGTTTAGCAAAATCAATTTTTTCTCTACTGAATTAGCGTTTGACCCTTTTATTATCTACTTTTGAATTTGATGTAAGTTTCTTTCTCGCATGCTATTTTTTAAATGTTTGGAAACCAAAAATTGTCGTGTCTTAAGAAAAAATAAATATATTCCCTTAACTGTGCTCGTTTAAAGTTTATTTCATCAATTAACCCGGTATAGTAAACTTTATAGTTAGCTATTGTTCTACGCCTTCTTAAATTAATAGTCAATAAAGATTGTATCATGAACATCTAACCAAGGTAACAATGTCTCTAATCCACACTAATATCTCGTACCGTAAACATCTATCATGTAATTGTTTTTTTTTTTTTTTTTCATTATAATGGTATAATCCTGCCCGTAATAGTTTATTGCTTATAAACATCCAAATCTACAGATCGAAGATAAAGACAATAATTTATTTTGCAAACAATATTTAATACAAACATTATAATCAAACAATTTTTCTTCTGTATTTATTTGATGATAACTTCTTCTCTTTAAAATATTTTTTATTTTAAAATATAAGCACAACAGGCTTTATAGGCCCATAACTTGGTGTATCTACTGATTATCTTCTTTTTGTTTTATTCATGGCCATGTCTAGCCGGTTGGCTATTCTTAACTTGTGCAAGCGTCTATCCATTTTCTTCGTTACTTTTTCTTTTCGCACAATCTCCACTTATCAATACTCATTTCGCCCATCCATTTTCCCCCATTTTACTATATGGCCCAACCAACGAAATATTTTTGCTCTAACCATATATACAATATCCGGTTGACCATATAATGATTTTAACTCTGCCTTTATTCTTCTCTACTATTAGGTATTCAAGACGAAAGGTACCAACCACATGTTCTTGCAGAACATATCATATTTTTACGGTGGTTTTTGGTATCACAGTTTATTTAAATTCAACTTTTACAATAATTCAATTCAACTTTAACAATAACTTTCCAATTAATAACATTAACGTACAACGTCTATCATAAAACTGAAAACTGACGTCAGGATCATCCTTCTCGAACCTTCGCGAACTGACGTCTAGAATATTCTTGACGGGTAATGACATTTCTGGACTAGTTTATCTTCTTTTACTTGTACTTTTACTTATGACGACCGCAGCATACTGTAGGGCGATGAGTAACATCCCACTTCTTTTTCTATCTGTACGTTTCCTATAATAGCCACAGGCTACTGCAGGGTGCTGCGTAACAATATGTAAAACCATCTGAATTTAAAGCGATCAATGACAACAAACTCTGTTTGTACCCCTAGACATATCTCACCTCATACCATATTTGAGCCTTCACCATACGAGACAGTAGAAGTAAAATTAAATTGTTCATGTTGTTCTCTTCGACGACGATATATTTTTACCTGCCATCGATTGAATTAACACTGGTCAATATCCCAATTAAGAGGCTCCCATTTAAAGTCTAGTTTCGCCATTCTATGACATCGCTAAAGATGTGGAGCTTTTTATATCTATAGGGTTTCAAATCAGCTTCTTTGAGCATTCTTCTAATTGTCCGAACACTTGGTGTTGTTCCACGTACTTTCTTCTGTTCGCTTCTTATTAAGCTGTTTTGTGCCTCTTTAATAGTGGTTGCAACACTATTACCTACATTGTATTTGGATAGAAATGCCAGAAAAATTTAGTACATTAAACTTTTATACTATTAGAAATAAGAAGACATCTAATATATCAGGTTTAAAATGAATATTTTATTATCGCTATAATTTGAATAACCATCTCATTTCAAAACAAATTTCTTAATTCTAACATTTTACTTACCCCAATTAGCATATAGTAAGATTCCCTGACTGCTCCATAACAACCTAAGAAGGCAATAAAGAAAACAATACAACCAGCCACTATCAGTACAACAGCGGGTGCAATGATTTTTCCTTCAAAAAAATGGCTAAATTCTTCCATATCTGATAAAATTAGGGAACCAGCTATTATAAGACCAATTCCGGAAATCTGAAAATAAGTTAGTCGGTGTCAATTATTGTTAAAAGAGATTGCAACAAACTTTAAAATATTAAAAAATAAATTAAATTATCAATTGTTATTTAAGTATATTATTTGATTGATTTCTATACAAACTCTATAATATCAAATTTAATTTTAAGTAGACTATAAGGAAAATAAAACGACTCTAAAACGAATTGGCTGCTTAACGTTTAAACCGCACTAATGGAATTTCATGACCCATAACGAATTTACTTTGCCTCCACCAAATATAAGAAATTCCATCAAATGGCGAAATATTGACCATTAGTGTTATACAATTTTAATTTAGAAGAAAAGAGAAGAAGAAGAAGAAGAAGAAGAAGAAGAAAAAAAAGAAGAAAAAGAAGAAGAAAAAGAAGAATAAGAAGAAGAAACAGAAGAAGAAGAATAATAATAAGAAGAAGAGCAAAAAGAAGAAAAAGAACAAGAGCAAGAAGAAGAAAAAGAAGAGGAAGAAGAAAGTCAATAGAGACTCCTGTTTAAAGCTTAGATCATATTCTAAAAAACCAAGAGAACTCTATGAATAGAAACCAGTTGAAAACAATAAAATATATTCATGACTGGGCGAGTCCCAGTAAAAGGACACGAGTAAAATAGTCGTATACAATCTATTATTATCAACTATATCACAAAAAAAACAGAAAAGTTAATTATATGTAAAACTTTGGATCACAAGGAAGAACTTCTTTGGACAACCTCATGTTAATCCAATAACCACATCCAGTCAAAGACCTGTACAAATTCCTACAAATTACAAAAGTGACAGGGTTGGCTATAATATGGGATTAAAACACAATATCCTTTTTTTAATTATTAAGTGCATTTTTAACTTCCAATGAGGCCAGCACCTCGACTTTTTAAGGCTTTTTCTAATAACTACTAGACCACCTTTTTAGGCAAAACAATTATATTGCTGGTTGCTTTTGAGGTTTATCAAAAATTTCCAAATAACTTTAGATGATCTGATAAAAAAAGTTCCTTTTGTCGTCGTCGTCGTCGTCGTCGTCGTCGTCGTCGTCGTCGTCGTCGTCGTCGTCGTCGTCGTCGTCGTCGTTATCGTTTCAGTTATTGTTATTGTTTTTTTGTGTTATCTGCTTCAACCGCTAAGGTTATTTAGTCTCGTGTTCTGTGTAGGCTTTGTTACTGTTTTCCAGTGCCACTTTAGAAACAGCACTGTTAATTATAATCCAACAGTGAATGGTCGAGTGGGGAATCCTACCAAGGCATCAGAATTAATTTTAAATAATTAAATGAAATAAAAAATCCCGACCAACGGTGGGATTCGAACCTGGGACCCTTGGACCCGCAGGCAGAGACTCTACCACTTGTTAATGTTATTGTTCTTTCTGTTATTGATATTGTTGTTGATATTTTTGTTGATGGTTTTGTTGTCTTTGTTGTTGTTTTGTTTTTGTTATTTTTTTATTATTTTTATTAATATTGTTGTTGTTGTTGTTGTTGTTGTTGTTGTTGTTGTTGTTGTTGTTTTTGCTGTTACTCTAGTTATTGTTGTTGTTCTTTTATCGAAAAATATTTAGAGACCAACATTATTTGTAATTATTTTTACAAAAAACATTCAAAAATAAGGTGCTTTCTTCCGAAATTATCAAAGTACCCAGTGTTTTTTAAAAATATTATTTTTTTCGAAAAATTTATATTATTTCAAGAGGTTTTAAATAGCCTTATGAATACAGTTTTTGAAAAACTCTTTGCTGGCTTTGTATAAAGCAGCTTGACTTGTAAAAGACAAGAATCATAAAATATTTGTGGACATAAAAAGGCTTAGGTATTAAATCAACATTCATATGCATAAAACAAAAAAAGGATATCCAAATCTCGAATATGGTAATAAAAGAAGAAAAAATAAGAATCTAAAAGCACAATAATTATGGGCACCGTTCAAAAAATTTCCAGGTTGGGACAAGTCATAGGAAGTATTAAAACGCTCATGTAGCGATGTCCATGACTACAACATTAGCCAGGCGACTAGTTTCGGTCGATCAACCATCATTAGTGTTTTAAGAAAAGTAACAAAGGATCCACAAAAAAATTTTTAAAGTGAGCCATGGCTGATATAGACAAAGATATAAGTCTCATCCGTGATTACTAAGAACGCCTCTGGATTGAATTCATACTGTCATTTAAAAAGAAAAGGAAAAGAATTGTACACTCAAACATACGTGATTTTTTTCATGGCTTACTTTAGAAACATTTCATTTTTTAATGAATAGAATGGTAGTGAAAATATTGAAATGTATGTGACAATAAAGTAGAAGTATTAATTATAACATCTTATACAGGGTGTTAGTAAATAAGTGCGACAAACTTCAGGGGGTGGTTCTGCATGAAAAAATAATGACAATTTGCTATATAAACGTATGTCTGAAAATGCTTCGTTTTCCGAATACGGGGTGTTAAAGTTTTTCTTAAAAACTGACGATTTGTTTATTGCTCTGAAACCGGTCAAGATATGCAAATGAAATTTGGTGGATTTTAAGAGGTAGTTATTCCGCATTTTTTGACATGCAATTAAGAATTTTATGTTCATCATTGGCGTGCATACGGGTAATGATCTCAATTCATTTAAAGAAAATAATGGTATGACACTGGGATATTTCAAATTAAAAATCATTTTTGAATTCCTCATTAAATTTGTCACAAAAAATATCTCTGGCCTTTTTTTCGTGTGGGGCGCCATTTTTATGCAAAAAAATAAAATATCTTAGCGCATATTTTCCATTTCTTTAATACATTCTGTTAAATACGAATAGTTTAACGAAATGTCAAATTAGCGTTTCTTCATTATTAAGCTATTAGTTTGGTATAACATTGATGTTAATAAGTTATTAACTTTTCTTTTATCGAAAACAATGGAAAATTATACAAACGTGGAATTGTCAGACATGCATTTTGTCTATGGTCGAAGTAATGGAAATGGTCGGCAAGCTCGACGATTGTATGCAGAGTTGTATCCAGGACGTAGGGTACCCCATCACACAATATTTACTCGCTTTCACCAACGTTTGCAACTTTGCAGATCTGCAAATATGGCGAACTTACAAATGCAAGTATTCCAAAAAATATCTGCAAATTCGCAATATCTATTGTAGTTTATTACCCCCAACAACACTAAACCCAATTTTGGAATAGGAAAACTTGATACTTGCATATGTAAGTCAGTCATATTTGCATATTTTCAAAGTTGCCGCCATATTTGCAGATCTGCAAAGTTGCAGACGTTCTGTAATCTCACCCTTAAGAAACAAACGGCTGACTGCGGGCGCCCTCGAGAAGTACGAACTGTGCAACTATAAGAAGTAGTTCTCGAGTTAATTGCGGAGTCACCGGAAACAAGTACTCGAAAAATTGCCAACATATTAAATGTAAGCAACTTCACTGTATTTAGAATTCTTAAAGAACAGCAGTTGTATCCGTTTCATATTCAACGTGTGCAAGCTCTACTACCTAAAGACTTTCTTCCGCACCTATTTTTTTGCCAATGGATTCTTCATCAAATCGTTCAAATTCCTAATTTTTTAAATAGAGATTTGTTTACTGACGAAGCTAATTTTGGTCGGGAGTCTATACGAAATTTCCATAACAATCACTTATGGGCTGAGGAAAATCCACATGGAATCTTTGAAGCTCATTTTCAGCATCAGTTTTCGGTAAATGTATGGATTGGGGTAATTGATGATCATTTAATCGGTCCATATTTCTTTCCACAACGACTAACAGGCGACTTTTACCTTAATTTCCTACAGGAAGAGTTACCTGTTCTTCTTGAAGAAATTCCTCTACAGCTGAGACAACACTTATGGTTCATGCATGATGGTGCACCAGTCCATTTTAGCATTGATGTACGAAATCACTTAGATGCAGTATATGCAAATCGTTGGATAGGTAGGGGAGGTACGGAACATTGGCCTGCTCGATCGCCGGATTTAAATCCTCTGGATTTTTGCATTTGGGGTTTTCTTAAGTCACTAGTTTATTCCACTCCCGTCGAAAATGTCGGAGACCTGAGGAACCGAATTATAGTCCGCTGTGAGACAATAAGAAATACACCAGGACAATTTGCGCGAATACGACAATCAATGCGGCGAAGAGTTGAATCTTGTCTCACGTCTGAGGGAGGTTATTTTCAGCATTTGTTGTAGCTTTGCGCCTATTTAAAATTTTATTAGTGTTATTTTCTGTTATTTTTCTGTTATTGTTCTAGTTTAATGTTATTGTATTAGATAGTTCTTGATAATGTATTAAAGAAAATACGATATTTTATTTTTTGCATAAAAACGGCGCCCCACACGAAAAAAAGGCCAGAGATATTTTTTGTGACAAATTTAATGAGGAATTCAAAAATGATTTTTAATTTGAAATATCTCAGTGGCTTACCATTTTTTTCTTTAAATGAATTGAGATCATTACCCGTATGCACGCCAATGATGAACATAAAATTCTTAATTGCATGTCAAAAAATGCGGAATAACTACCTCTTAAAATCCACCAAATTTCATTTGCATATCTTGACCGGTTTCAGAGCAATAAACAAATCGTCAGTTTTTAAGAAAAACTTTAACGAAGCATTTTCAGACATACGTTTATATAGCAAACTGTCATTATTTTTTCATGCTGAATCACCCTCTGAAGTTTGTCGCACTTATTTACTAACACCCTGTATAAATTTATTGAAGTCACATATTAGTAAAATTCTAAGAGCCGATTCCACCGTTGTGTTAAACGAAGATTAAAATGATATTTTTACGTTGCCAAGGTCATTTTATTATTCGTTTAGTAATTTAAACTTCGTTTAACACAACGGTGGAATCGACCCTTAGTAAACTAAGTTCAATTTCAAATAATGTACAGTTAAACTTGGCGCCTAATATTATCAATGTCTATTTTTCAGTTTTTCAAGTGCTCTGCATTTTACTTTTAATTTTCACTAGTTTTCTTTCCCTTTTTTATGAACCTAATAGTTTTAATGACTTTAAATTTAGCGAGATACCATGAGGTTTTTTCTAGATGTTTGTAGAAATGCTTATAAACTAAATTTGATATATTATACTAAATGACTGACAAACGTAAATATTTAAAATGTTAAACATAGTTATTTTTATAATGTATTTTTGTACTCGCCTTGATTTTAGTTTTAATGGATACATTCAATTGATAAAAATAAAAAAAATACCTACCAAATTTGAAATAATTTTTAAAAAAAAATTGTTGAAGATAGAATGAAATAATTTTAATATAATGCTATTGGCTTTTTAAACATTATTTTAATATATTGTTACATAGTTTTATTTGTGCAAAAACAGTTTTCTGAATTATATATCTTATTTTATTTTAAAATTAGGATACTTACAGCAAAAATGAAATTAAAAACAAACAACGCATATTTTATCACACTAACTTCACAGGATTTCATTTTGAAAATTTGTAGGATGTGCTTTGTTTCAAAAGTTCTGAATTTGTACGATGTTAAACCTTTGTTCTTTGTTAGCAAATTTTCTTCGTTTCAAATCAAATCAACAGAGGGAAATTTGATATGACCTTTAAGGTATGAGGTCATTCCTTATTGGCTGGTCGCGTGTTTAAGGTGTGCGTTGCTATAGCGATTCCTTGGAATTTTAAAAGCGTGTAGATATCTAATGCGTAACTGCGGAAGGGTAGGTAGGGTAATTTTCTCACTCACGAAATGTTAAATCAGAAAATAGTAACTCAAGTTTTAGCAAACATCAATCATCTCGTCGAGCATCTTATTCCAATCGACGTGTAATTAATTTGCACCATAATCTATATAAAAGAAATTAGGAAGTTTTTTTAATTGTACATATGGCGGGTTGTACAATAGGCAGTTAAAATGTAGACTTAGTTTAAACTGTGAACCTTGTCGTATACTTATCGGTTATTGTTAAACATAGTTTTAAAAATGACATTTGTTTTGGATAATAACTAGTTAAAAATAAAACTCTTGTTAGTTAAAATAATATTTTTTGTATAACCTGTCCATAATGTATTTTGTAATAACTATAAATCATAATATTCTTGTAAGGAAGTTGGAAAGCCTAGGGTTTGATCAGTCGCTATTGAGATTATTTTCATCTTACCTAAATAATCGTTTTAATTATGTCTTTTACAACGGATTTTCATCTTCATCCCTCACAGCAACATCGGGAGTTTCACAGAGCTCCAATCTGGGGCCACTATTATTTAGTATATTTATAAATGACTTGGCAATAAACTTAACATGTTCAGCTGCTGACTTAAAAATATTAACCTCAATCTCATCAATTCAAGACTGTCACTTTGTACAGACCCAACTGTTGAAAATTGGTGTAATGAAAACAAGCTGTTTATGAATGTGTCTAAATATAAAGTATGTTCCTATACTAGAAGTATTAACAAGGTGGAGTTTAATTATTTATTTAACGGCCTACCTTTATCGACTTGTGCACAAATTGAAGATTTAGGTATATTATTCAACCAAAAAGTTATTTTTTCGGATTATATTGAAAATACCGTTGCTTCTGAAAAGCTTAGGGTTCTTAATTCGTAATACTCGTTCATTTACAAACTCTTAAAGCTTGGAGATCCTTTACTTTTCTTTAGTTCGTTCCAAGCTAGAATATGCATCTCTTATCTGGAACCTTATTTACAATATTCATAAAAGATAATTGGAAAATGTTCAGCGGCGATTTCTCAAGAACCTTTCTTTTAAAACAGATGAGCTGTATCCCATTCGAGGTATTGAACAATCTCTGCTTCTTTCGAAAATAGAAGGTTAGTTTCCAGTGTTAAATTTTTTTATGTACCATTTTTGATAAATCAAATAAATTTTAATATTCCCCAAACAGCCATTAGATATCATAAAACATTTTATGCAGCAAGTATCCGAACGAACTTGGGAAGAAATTCGCTAATGTGCTCAAATTTTAATTAATTTTGTTCTGATTGTGACAGTTATTTCGACCATTAATTGTACTAATTTGTAGCTAATGTATTTAGGATTCCTTCTTTTCTTTTTTTTTCTTGCTGTTAGTTGCTAAAATTATTTTATGTCGAAATATTATGTTTGACATTTATTTTGTCCTGTAAATAGATTAATCTGGTGGCCAATAAAATTATTTTTATTTTATAAAGCAAAAAATTTTTATTTTGATGCATCTACCACCTTTAAAAGTTTGTCAGTATATTAACGAGTAATCCTATATAATACCCAAAGAAAAATGTTTTTGGAATAAATTCCGAATTCTATTTATTGATATTTGTTATTTTTTAGGTTCAATGACTCGAAACATGATGATCAGCTACACCAAGATTATCCTTGATACTTAAGAAAATGGTATGAGATTAAGCAGATTTGATGCTACGTCATATTGTGGTGCGAAAACGTGGCTTGTATGAATTTGAGGTATCAGTGGATCGAAAACAGTGCCCAAAAATAAATTTAAATCTGCATAGGCATCATAGATAGCCATATTCCGTACCACAATACGTCATGCGTGAACTCGATGAGATTTCATCGGCTAAGTATTATTCCTCTGTAATGTTTTGTATTATTAGGAATATTAGCATTGTAAATAATTATGATTAGGGATTTCTAACCTTTTCCCTAGGTCAGAGAGAATAAATGAAAACTAAATAATGTGTAGTAATAAAGATTGAAAATATATATACTCTTAAGAGTTTTATTATGTCATCCATAGTTTTATACCAAAAATGAAAATAAACTGAAATTATACATTAAAAATACATTCAAAAATTTACTATATTTATAACATTCATCGACTCTCTCCTGGCTAAAATATTACTTATCTATTTATGGTTCCTGCAAAGTTCATCCTCAGTACACCTGCTTATATGATATCTATCTCGATGTCAAGTTTCTTGTCCGTTTCTTGTCTATTACTCTTATACTTAACCAGAAGTCGCTTAGCCTCGGACGCAAATGTCTAATTCGGCCAAAACACAGTCTTGATACACAAATATCTATTTTACCGCTGGTTTCATAACAATGATCGATGGCTTAAAATTATCTCTTGTCCAGTACACTCGTATACACTTTAATATTAGCCTATATTATTTTTGATTGAAGACGTTTACATTTTAAAAATGTCGTTTACTTAAAAATAAACATATTTAATTTTGATATTTTATTTAACTTAATCAAAACATGGTCCTAATTAACACTGCTGTTACTAAAGTGGCGCTGGGAAACAGTAACAAAGCCTAGACAGAACACGAGGCTAATTACCTTAGCAGTAGATGCCGATGAAACAAAAAAAAACATTAAATTATTATTTTCCATTTATATATGGCTTATACCGGACCAGTACGTACTCTAGTAGCTGACAGCGTTACCGTCAGTTGCCGCCACATATTCATTAGTGACATACGTTTTATAAATTCATCGTGTTACATATTTGTTGACATAAAAAGATAGCAATTTAAAGTGGCCTTGTATTACTTCGAATGATAAATCGATAATGCAAGTTTTCTAACCTAAAAAAAATCGTGATTATATGTCAAACAAAATTGAGTTGGGCCTTAAGTGAACTTGCAATAACTCTCTATTGATAATCTACCGTCATTTATTTTTTTAACTTTTATTAATGTGTTCTTTTTGCTGATGACTCGGTAAGAGATTGTGTGAAGCTGTAAAGAGATTTACTTATTAGTAATTAAAACAGTTAATTATTTTCGATTACCAGATGGTAGAGGAGATATTAATACGATGTACAGTTGACCCAAAATTTAATGGTGTGATTATGGGATGGTCCGTTATCGGTTAGTCGGTCCAAAACTAACCGCACTGCTTGACATTCCAGAAAAATCGGTTAAATTAGGGACGCGGTTACCTGAAAATGCTGACTCAAACGTCAATTCACTAACCGCTATATTAGAGAGTTATTGCATATTCAGGGCCCCGGGACAATTCTCTACATCGGGCCCTAAAACTTTTCGGTTTCTAAAAAAAAAAAAAAAGGTCCTCGCGTCGAAAAAAATAAAGTTTGTTCTCCCTACCTCAATTACTTAAAAAAAGTCCTCAGCGCTGCCGGGCCTCCATTTGAGCCCGGGCCCCTAGTCCCGGCTACCCCCCCCCCCTCTAGTCGGGCCTTTTTATATTTCTATAACGTCAGCCACTAATAGTGACAACTATGAAGACTAGAGGTGACAACCTAATTAGAGGCAAATAAATTCCATGCTAAAATAAATCTTATTGCAACCCTGAAATTTTGATATTAGAGTCCTTGGTCCTTATAGGTACATATTTCTAACCTCATTTTAAAAATTTTAAATTACAGTTCATCTTTTTTGTTGTTTATAATAGTACATAATATGGAAGAGGCATTAGAAATTACCATTTTAGAAGGTTTAAAAGACGATGATATTAAATATTTATTATTAAAAAACTTCCAACTGATACGAATGTTGGCGAAGGCACCCGAAAACTATACAGTCGCCACTAACTGTTGTCCTTAAACATCAACAATTAAGGACAGGCACAATCTTTATTAAAGTCAGTTCTAGAATGTAAGTGATCTGCGCAAACTCAGATGTAAAAATAAGAGCGGCACTAATAGTGACTGACTTTAAGTGAACTTGCAATATCTCTATTTTTACGATTACTATTAAGTCGAATGTCAATCTGTCACAAAAGTGACGTAAATCTCGGTTGTGGTCCAAATGTAACCGAGAAATTACCCAGATAGCACATAACGTTGCCAAGCCTTTTGGCGATGTTGCTTTAAGGGAACGTAATAACATTACTATACAACGTAAATGCAACGTTCATGAGAAGAGGGAAATCAAAACCTCGCAAAACTTCTATTTGTTACTTACCTATTTAACCTACGTGTTATGTTAACACAACGTAATAAAGTAATTTGCTAAAAAAGTATCTACGAAAAGTACTATGAACATCTAATCTGAATCAGAACGTTTTTTATGTCAATTGTCATTTGTCACTTTTTCTTGTCATATGTCATGTTTTTGATGGTTGTCGAATGTTGTTATTTAACTAGGAGAATTGATTTTATAAATAATTTTCATACATTTGAGTAGAATAATTGGTAAGGATCCTCTATAACTATTTTCTAAACAATTTTCTTCGTTTCAGATTGCAATGCCTGGTGTAAATTTAATATTTCATTTATTAGGTACCTACCTACCCAACACAATAAAATGGTTTAACTACTATAAAAACAAAGAATGGTGTAGATATAAACGTCTTAAACGAGAAGATAAACAATTAACCGAATGACCAGTCACATTTTACTTATAAATACTTATGAAAGTATAATATACTTTAATCAAACTAAAAATACATTTTAAAAATATTATATTTTAGGTTTCCTTTGTACCTGACATTCTAGGAATTTTAGAAGCAAAAGTAAATACTACAGACTTGTCTAAAGAAGAACATATAACGCCTGAAATTTTATAAAAAGTGAATCTACAGCTAGGTACATGGCACATCATTATCATCAACAGGCTTGTTGTGTCTGAAACTCTAATCATCAGTTCAAAAACATAGAAGAAAAGTTGAGAGAAATCACAGAAGATGTCCTCGAGCATACATCAGAATATCTTGCTAAAAACATGAGTTGTTTTTTATA